AGGAAGGGAGAGAAAGGAAAGATGAGAGAAGAGGTGGGTATGTAAGGTCATGGTTGGGGTACATATCATGGTAGGGTATGGCTGGTAGACACAGAAAACACACCATGAGTTCTCACAAAATGGTATCATCAGAGTACCATAACCTTCTCATAATATAATCACAGTAGACGAAAGGTAGCCTCACCATGGTAGAATAAGGTAGCCCCACCATACAGCTCTCACCATGGTAGAATAAGAAGCCTACCACAGTTCTCACCATGGTAGGAATAGGTAGCTCACCACAGCCTCCCACCATGGCAACAGTATGGTAGTCCCTGCCCAAAAAATCCAAGCGACAAAATTTAACTGGTTAGCTTTGTGAGAGCGAGAACCTGTTGACTGGTGATGTAAGGAGTCAGAGAGGTGGGGAGGTGGGGAGGGGGAGGGGAGGGGGAGGGGAGAGTGTGGAGGGAGGGGAGAGGGGGGGAGGGGAGGGGAGGTGGGGAGGAGGAGTATGCGAGAGCATGGGGAGGGGAGGAGTGTGTGGGAGAGGGAGGTGGGGGGAGGGAGTAAGGGGAGAGAGGGGGGAGTGGGAGGGAGTGGGAGTGGAGGTGGGGGAGGGAGGAGATGGGAGAGGTGAGCATGGGGAGGGGGGGAGGGGAGGGGAGGTGGGAGTGGGATTGTGTGAGTGTAGGAGAGTGTGGGAGTGTGTGAGAATGAGAGGTGGGGGTGGGATGTGGGGGAGTGTGGGAGAACTTAGGGGTGTGGGAAGAGGGAGGAGTGTGGAGAGGCAAGAGGGGTGTGAGAAGGAGTGAGAGTGTAGGGGTGTGGGAAGAGGTGGGGAGAGTGGGGAGAGAGTGTGGGAGAGTGAGTGTAGAAGGGGTAAGGGAGAGGGGAGAAGTGGGAGAGGCTGGAAGAGTGAAGGAGGGGAGAGGTGTGGAAGAGGGGAGGTAGGGGTGTGGAGGTGGGAGGGGAGAGGAGGGGTGTAGAAGGTGTGTGGGAACAGGTGGAGGAGAGTGTGTTGAGAGAGGTTGGAGAGTGGGAGGAGTGGGGGTGTGGAGAGTGTGGTGATGGGAAGAGAGGGGAGGTGGGGGAGTGTGTGTGGAGGTGGGAGGAGTGTGGGGATGAGAATGAGTGTGAGAGTGTGGAGTGGAGATGTGGGGTGTGGAGAGAGTGTGATGAGAAGAGATGGAAAGGAGTGAGAGGGGAGAGTGGGAGAGGAGGGAGAGGGAGGAGAGTGGGGTGGGAGTGGGGAAGAGGGGAGGTGAGGGGAGTGGGGAGTGTGGGGTGAGTGGGAGGTGGGATGAGGGAGGGGAGAGAGTGGGGTGGGGAGAGTGTGGAGAGTGGGTAAGGGGAGAAGGAGTTTGGGAGGTGTGGAGGTTGAAGGGATTTTAAGAGCATGGAAACGTGAGGGAGATGAGGGTAGGAATGGAGGGGCTAGGAGGAGGCTGGGGGGGTTAGGAGAGGTGAAAGTAGGAGGAGGAAGAGGGGGGATAGGAGAGGCGAGTGAGGGAGAGTGGGCGTGGGTGAGGCTGAGGGTCGTGGTGAGGCTGGGAGGTGAGAGGGAGGGAAGAGGCTGGAGGTCGTGGGTGAGGCTGGAGGTCGTGAGAGGTGGAGGTCAGGTGAGGCTGGAGGTCGAGAGGGGGCTGGAGGGGTAAGAGTATGGTGAGCCGTGATAAAATGGAGGTCAAGGAAGAGTCATGAGGGCAGTGAGGGGTCGTAAGAGGCTGGGAGGCGTGGGAGAGGTGAGGTCGTGTAAGAGGCTGGGAGAGGCTGAGGTCGTGAGAGGCTGAGGGGTGAGGCTGAGGGGACAAGGAGGGGTCGGGAGAGGCTGAGGGAGAGGCTGAGGAGCCGTGGAGAGGCTGGAGGCCGGGTGAGGCTGAGGAGTCGTGGGAGGCTGGAGGGTCGGGTGAGGCAGAGGCGGAGGCGTG